ACATATTAATTTTCAGCTTGCTCTAAGTAAAAGCAGGTACATGAAGTGTTTCCATAATTATATAAATTAAACTGTATCTACACAGTATGCTTAAAAATTTTTGTATAAATACAAACATATCAAGTCATTTTGTGATGAATTTCCACTGTAATTTCATGAGGTATTTTATGTAAATATTAATATTTAGTTTCCTAAGTATAAAATATACATATACAAAGTACTTAATACTAAGGCTTTTCTTTGGACAATTTATATGAATGTGATTCTCCCACTAAATCCCATGAAAAGTCGATCAAATGGATAATCAGTGACTTCTGCATTTTCAGTGAAAGCACATGTGTGTTACAATGCACATCTTTAGGCATCTTCTAAAGTCAGTCTATTTACACCACTGCAGGAGACAGGGGTTGGTTATACACGGTGCATTTTCCTAGAGGGAATATACTTAGTGATAGTAATTTTGTATTTTAAAAAATGTACATTTGTTATTCAGTCAAATGTAAAATTTATAGGAATTAAAAAACTGAAACCTCAAACTTCAATGTTCTTGCAACAGGCTGGTTTTAGGGATGTAATTCAGATTTTTATTTTTCTGCTCTTAAAACTATTTTGGAGGAGAAGTTTGAGAAGAATTGTTAATTGAAGAGTAAGATGTTAAAGTATGAAACAGGGCAATGACAATTAGATGGGAGGAAGGAGATAAGAGGCATTGGACAAGGTGAAGGGGAAAACCTGGGCTGGAATATGCAGTGAGAGAAAGGAATAGATCACAGATTCCTAACAGGTTCCTACCTGGGTGATTGGGAGGTACAGAGCTATGACCCATCAACAAAGTAAAAGAAACTGAAATCGTTGGCTGGGGGTGGGGAAGCTGAGGGTTAGGGCTTGAGAATAATGAAAGTAATTGAGTGGGAAAACATAAGGGTCAACTTGAGGTCAAGTAAAAAACAATAATTGAATAGCACAGGGTACTCGGCTAAAGTTAGAGAATAGGAATTTATAGTAGAATCTACATCCGTTGTTACATGACCTGTAGCATGAGTGCTCAAGAGCATTAGGAAGAAAAATAGCTGGTTTGTTGTTTTTTTCAAGGTTGAAAAGTTAAGGCGATAAGAAAAAGTGCACCCATGACACAGTAAGCCTTTTAGGGACTGAGATTTTAGAAGATCTTGGTGATGTGGGGTGGCTCTATTGGAGTGGCACTGTCTCTTTAAAGAAAAAACCCTGACACTTCAAACTCTGTTCTGAAACTGTTATGAGGCTTCCCTGGGATTTAAGTACTTAATAGTTAAATAGGCCTTAAAAGATTTATTAGCTATTCGCTTTAACAGACCCTAGGGATGTCCTTCAATTTCACTCAACATCTGCAGTTTCTTTGAACTTTTTTCTTTTGGCTCTCCAAAAATGCTGATATGTATAAAAGACGTGTAAATCAAAGCGATATTTTAATTCACTAAGTGCCTGAAGGGAAGGTGCAATATGAAAATATATTCAATGAGAAGTTGATCTGTAATGGTGCTTGTTACCACAGATGAACATGCCACTGTGTACCCTAGGGACAAATAGTCCACCTCCAGTACAACACAGAAATCAATCTTAATACACATGAAGAAACTAAGAAAATATAGCTCACCTCTAATTTCTGGTTCAAGTTGGTCAGTTCAAAGGGTATTTCTTCTTTGAGGTGTGGTGACTCTTTTTGTTGACATTTATTTTGTTTCATCTGGTGTAATCTCAGTTTTTCAAAGCTATTAGTTAGTTTGGAAAACTGTAAATAATAGAGAATGCTGACATTTTACTATTACTGGTAATGTCTAACGACTTCACTCTAGTTCTTTTCTTGTGCACCTCTTTGAAAATTTAAGTCATGATTAGAAAATGCAGCAATGTTAAATGTTCCAATTAGTGAAGATAGAACCAATTATTAAAACTAAATTATTGAAGCTGAACTCAATTCAGCTTTCATGTAAATTTGGGACTTCATTAACAGCACAATGATTCACCTGATAATTTGTTTTGTTCAGTTTTGCTTTAACCATATGTAGCAAAGCTCACAATTAAAAAAAAAACAAGTTTTTTTTCTTTTATTTAGTGCCATCTTGTGTTGACAATTTTAATTTCAGTAACTTAATCTGCAAAATAACCAGCTTATACTTTATTCAAGAAAACTGAATACTTAATTTAAAATATACATACAACATAAAAGACTTATTCATGTTGATATAAGTTTAAATAAATTTAAATATCAAAATTGACTTAATTTTTTTCTTACCAATAATTCTTTTTACAACTTAGACTGTATTATTCTTACTTTTGTTTCTTGTTCTATCTTCAAATAATAGATTAAAAGCAGCATGGTCTATTAACATCTGTGAGGAAGTTTCATATAACTGTTTACAAAAGTTTTTATTTTAAAATAATTATAGATTTACAGGAAGTTACAAAGGTATTGCAGAGAGATTCTGAATTCTCTTCACCCAGTTTCTCCCAGTATTTACATCTTAATGAACTATGGTGCAATGTCAAACCCAGGAAATGGACATCGGTACAATATATGTGTATAACTCTATGCCATTTTATCATGTGTAGATTTGTGTGACAACAGCCACGATCAAGATACAGAACCGTTCCATCAAAGATCTCCTTGGTGCCTTTAGAGTGACACTCATCCTCCATAACCCTCGACTCCTAACCCTGGGCAAACATTCATTTGTTTTTCATCTCTATATTTTGTCACTTCAAGAATGTTATAAAATGGAATCAAATAAAATATGACCTTTTGAGATTGACTTTTTTTCACACAGCATAATGCCCTTGAGATGCATGCATGTATCAATAGTTCATTTCATTTTATTACTCAGTATTATTTCATGGAATGGATGTAACCACAGTTTGCTCGAGCAGTCACATATTGACGCATTTTGTTATTTCCAGATTTTGGCTATTACAAATAAAGCTGTGGATAATTGTGTCTATTTTCTCTGATATCAATGTAGTCACTTCTGCTTTCTTTTTTCTTTCTTGTATAATGTTTAAAATTGAGGTATAATTCACCTACCATAAAATTCACCCTTTATAGAATTCATTGTGTGTTAGTATATTCACAAAGTTGTGCAACCACTGCACTATCTAATTTCAGAATATTTTCATCACCGAAAAAAGAAATGCCATACCTATTAATAGTGACTACACATTTCCTCCTTCCCGAAACCCCTGGCAACTACTACAATCGTTCTGTTTCTATAGATTTCCCTATTCTGATCATTTTATATTAGTGGAATCATATAATATGTAGTTGTTTGTGTCTGGCTTCTTTCATTTAGCATAATGCTTTCAAGGTTCATTCATATTGTAACATGGATCAATACTTCACTCCTTTTTATGTCTGAATAACATTCCACTGCATGGATATACCACATTGTCCATCCATTCATCAATTGATGGACATTTGGGTTGTTTCCTCTTTTTGTATATTATGAAAAATGCTGCTATGAACATTTGTATATAAGTTTTTGTGTGGATATATGTTTTTATTCCTTGGGTATATACATAGGAATAGAATTGCTGGGTTATATGGAGACTCTAAGTTTAACTTTTAAAGAACTTCCAAACTGTTTTGCAAAGTGGCTGTACCATTTCCCATTCCCACTGGCAATGTACAGGGCTCCAATTTTTCTATATCCTTACCAACACTTGCTATTATCCATCTTTTTGATTATAGTTATCCTAGTGGGTGTAAAGGGGCATCTCCTTATGGTTTAGATTTGCATTTTCCTAATGACTAATGATGTTGAGCATTTTTTCATGTGCTTATTGGCCATTTGCATATCTTCTTTGTAGATATGTGTATTCATGTTTTCCCCATTTTAAAATTTGCTCATTTGTCTTTTTATTGTTGTCTAATAAGTTATTTTTTAATTCTGGATACTAGTCGCTTATCAGATATATGATTTGCAAATATTTTCTCTCATTTTGTGGGCTGTCTTTTTACTTTCTTGATGATGTCTTTTGAAGCACAAAGGTTTTTCAATTTTGATAAAGTCAAATTTATCTAATTTTTCTTGTGCTTTTGGTACCAAATCTAAGAAACCATTGCCTAACCCAAAGTCACAGAGATTTACTCCTATATTTTCTTCTAAGAGTTTTACAGATTTCATTTTTACACTTAGGTCTTTGAACCATTTTCAGTTAATTTTTGGTTATGGTTAGGTAAGGGTCCAGCTTAATTGTGTTGTATGTGGGTATTCAGTTATCCCTTCACTGTCTGTTGAAAAGACTATTCTTCTCCATTGAATTATCTTGGCACCACTTCTGCTTTCTTTTGATAAATATCTGCATGGTATTTTTAAAAAATATTTTTACTTTCAACTTACATATATAGTTATGTTTGAAATCAGTTTCTGAAACAGAGTATATAGTTATATCATATTTTTTTATTTACTCCGTCAATCTCCATTTTTACACCAGTTCCATTTAATGTAATTATTGACATGTTAGGGCTTAAGCCTGACTTTGGTTTTATTTTCTGTTCTCCAGTTTTTGGTTTCTCTGTTTTAGCTTTCTTGTCTTCTTTTGGTTATTTAAACATTTTTTAGAATTCCATTTTGACTCATCTATAGTGTTTTGAATGTATCTCTTTGTATAGATTTTTAGTTGTTACTTTGGGTATTATGTCATATATACATAAGTTAATACAGTCTACTGGTGTTGACATTTGTGTGTTAAAATGAATTATAGAAATCTTATTGATACTTATCTTTATGTCCCTTTACCTTGACCTATTTATAACATTATTGTCTTCAAGTATTTCCTCATTTGACATTGTTTTGTTTCAGCTGTCAAACAATTTAGAAAACTCAAGAGAAGGAAGTTTTTAATTTTTTCGGTGTTTTTCTTCCTTCCTGATGTTTCAAGATTCTTTATTATTTCCTTTCTGCTAACAGAACTCCCATTAGCCATTCCTTTACTCGCAGTGTAGGTCTGTTCATGAAGAATTCTCTGCTTTCCTTCACTTGAGAATATTTTGATTTCCCCTTCATTCTTAGACATAGAATTCCTGGACATAGAATTCTGGGTTGACATTTCTGTCCTTTTGGTAATTGAAAAATGTTCCACTTCCCTCTGGCGTCCATGCTTTCAGATGAGAAGTCCATTATCTAAATTGTTTTTTCCCTACAGATAGGATGTTACCACTTTCTTGCTGCTTCTAAGATTTTTTCTTTTAGTTTTCAGGACTTTGACTAATATGTGTCTTGGTATAGATTTCTTTGGGTTTATCATGGTTGAATTTCACTCAGCTTCTTGAATCTGTAGGTTTACATGTTTTGCCAAGCTTTGAAAATTTCAGCCATTACTTCTTCGAATACTTTTTCAATCTCACCCTCTTCTCCTCTCCCTCTGGGACTCTGACAACACAAATTTTCAATTTTTTCTTATAGTACTACATGTCCCTGAGGTTCATTTTCAATTAGTCTAGTTCTCTCTCTTGTTCAGATTGGGTAATTTCTGTTTTGCTATCTTCAAGTTTACTGAAAGTTTTCTCTATCCTCTCCATTCTGCTTTTGAGCCCATGCATTGAGTGATTTTTAGTTTGGTTATTGTATTTTTCAGTTATAAAATTTCTAATTGTTTTTTTATAGTTTTATTTATTTGCCAAAACTTTCTAATTTTTCATTTGTTTCAAGTATGTTTGTAATTGCTCATCGAAGCATTTTCATAATAGTTGCTTTAAAATCCTTGTCAGATAATTCTAACATCTGTATCAACTTGTCACTGGCATCACTTACTGTCTTTTCTCATTCAAGTTGAAATCTTCCTGGTTCTTAGTATGATGAGTGATTTTTTATTCATACCTGGACATTTTGAAGTACTGTGTTATGAGACTCTGGATTTTATTTAAATGCAGTGTTTTAGCAGTCCTCTTCTGATAACGTTACAGCAGGGAAAGTGGAATGTTGCCTTATTACTGCCAGGTGGCAGTGTCTTGGCCTCAGTCCAGGTCTTGGCTTCAGCTGGTAACCCAGGAAAGGTGTTCCTTACTATCGCTGAGTGGGAGTAGGGGTCCAGGCTCCCCACTAGTCTTTCCCTAGCACCACCGTGATTGGAGAGCCGTAGGTGCCTTGTTAGTGCTTCTCACAGAGCCTTCAGTGATCCTGTATGAGGGTGAGTGGCCTTGTTACCACCGAGGGTGGCGAAGGTCCTGATTCTTCATTAAGCTTCCCTGATACCATTTCACAGAGCAGGGGGAAGGGTGCCTCATCACCACCAGACAGGCATGGAAGTCTGGCCTCTCCGCATGGTCTCCACATGGGTTGGGGAGGGCCTTGTTAATGCCCAGTGGTAATGAATGTCTTGGCTCTTCACTCAGACTTCTCTGACACTACCCAGTAGGGGGCCTGGGCTACCTCATTATAGCCCGGGAAGGGTGCAGACCTAGGCTGTCCACTCAGCTTCTGCCAGTAGTGTGGGTTTGGGGACTATAGTCTTTTTCTGTGGTATTTGGCTGGAGAAGAGCCATTATCATCTGAAAGTGTTTAATCTTGCTAGGCTGTCTTTTCCCTGGTCTTTCGGCTGCAAAGAGCAGGCTTTCCTTGGGGCTCCTTTTGTTTGTTGGTTTGTGCCCACTGGAGTTCCTGGGTTGCTGGCTTCTCTGTTACCCAGTCTGAGATATAAGAGGCAAAAAGAAATCCCAGGGACCTNGAATTTATAACTTAATCCTCGTATAAAAAATTAAGCATTTTATGTGTTAAAAATGTAAAAAGATTCTCTGATAACAAATACTGATTACTAATAAGGAAGTTTCAAAGAAGTTTTTGCATCAACCAGTACTTCTTACTTCCTATGTAGAACTACCAGCAGTTTTTTCCCATCTTTCATTCTCTACACTCAGTCACCAAACCCGTTCCCTTGCTTTTTTAGGGGATGGGGCTTGGACTGATATAATGACTATTCCCCTGTGGCTTTGAATGCTACCATCCCAGGTGAAACCAAAATCAACTCATTCTAAGGAACAGAACCACCTCAGGCCTCATTTAGGCAGGACCAACTGGGCAAGTGTTGGAACTAATGTGATATAGCATGCTCAGTTCTTCAAGTTTTTGCTCAAGCAGTATATTCACGGAGCATGATTATCTGTTCACAATTTAACACGAGGAAAGAATGTGGCTTTGGGAATGCCGAAGACAACTTCACTGCTCCTCAGTTTTGCCTAGGGCTGGCTACTATATCTTATCTTTCTGTCCAGGCTGTAAGCAACTTAAGGGTAAGGATTATGTATTTCATTACTTTTGTATTTCTCTCTGTGCCTGACAAAAAGTGCCAGGCACCACTTATATTCCATGAATGTACAAACAAAAGCCTAGTATTAATATTCCCTCTAATTTAACATTTCTCACTAAGTCCATAACCATATATTATTGCACATAGATACATGGTATGAATATATTGATGTTTCCAATCATCCATTTGGCATTATTTATTAAGCACCNAGGAAAAGGAAATACCCCCTTTTAAAAAAGAAAGCAATTTCTACAAGAAAGCTTTGACGGAGTTGAGTTATTCAAGGCAGAGTGTGCTAAAGTAATCTTTAAGATATTTTAAGAAAATGAAATTGTAAATAAACCAGGAATTTCAAGGAAGGAAGGGAGTACAAGGTGTGATCAACAATACAGTGAATGCTTAAATTTAAACAAATTTATTACAGTAAAAGACACATTGCCATTAATCCCCCTCAAAATACACCCCCTCATTTTGAACACACTTATCCCATCATTCTTGCCATTTTCTGAAGCAGTTCTGAAAGTCCTCTTTCATGAGTGTCTTTAGTTGTGCTGTCATGGCTGCTTCGATGTGCTGAATCATTTTTTACTTTGGGGAAGAGCCAGAAGTCGCACGGTGACAGATCGGGTGAACAAAGTGGATGAGGACACACCGTAATGTTTTCATTTGACAGAAGTGTGTCTTTTACTGTAATACATTTTTAAAATTTAAACATTCACTGTATTTCTTTATCGCACCTCGTAGAGTGAGCTAGCAGTAGCAAAAGTATGTTTGCCACAAGAGAGCATTTTCTGGTTAGAAAAAGCCATATTGCCAGTTATTATGCAAAGCAAGTCAAGTACATAGTATAATACTTTTTTCTCTGTCTTTTTACCTCCTTCCCTCTTTCTTTCTCTCCTTCTCTCCCTCCCTAATTCTCTTCTTTCCTCTCTTATAACCAGAGAAGAAAAGAAAAACAGAAAACAGCAGTAGAAGCAGATGGCTGTTCTCTCAACAATAATGTAGTGTTTCCAAAGTGTATTCTATGAAACACCTGTTTGCAGTGTTTACATTGTAATACTGTACTACAGTATTAGTAGATTGTACTTTAAAAATGAAATGTGTTCCATGGTAATGGAAAACGATAGATTAAAAAGGCTAAATGTATTTATTTAAAGCAGGATTTCTTGCAGCCTCTAATAATATGCTACTGTGCACTGTGAATATCCAGGAACACAGAAGGAGTAAACAGCCATTTCTAAACTCTCAGTGTTAGTGTTTCACAGAACAAATTTTTGTGAAATTGCCATAAAAATACTAGTTGGTTAGCCAGCAGCCAAGCAAAGCATCAAATGGCAAGGATTCATATATTAAATGACTACTCAATACCTATAAAGAAGGCTCCAAACTTTTTAACACTAGGCATACCACCTCTCCCCCCCGCCCAGAAATTAAAGATTTGGCAAGCAGTGACTGAACTAGTTAAATATAATTTAGAGATGGTACTTAACTTCTAACTAAATTTTTATATATTTTTACACTTATTCCAGATCACAATCGCTTTGTTTATCCTGAACAGTTGTAGCGATCTAATATTTATACTGCAACTTTAGAGCTTTATCTTTAAAGAAAAAGCAAGGTTGATTGACATTAAATGCTTTGAGTCTTAGCAAGGAAAAACCATATAAAATTTTATAATTCAAGCTACCCTCTAGTGGCAGCTATTTAAATTGCAGGCAAAATTTGTAGGTAGACTTAAGAGCTAGTCTTGTAAAATCATACCTATTATGTGGCATCTAGTGTTTCATATTCCAATATTAATAGCTGGCCACCTCCCTAAAAAGGTACTTAAGAAGGAACATTAACTACTTTGGGCTCCTTTAACTATATTATCATTTATGAAATCTTTGCAGTCCAAAGAAGCAGGTTGTAAAGTAGAGTTTCACAATCAAACCATATTTCCCATTGGTTTATTTACTAAGTTAAGCAAGGATATATCATCTACTAGACCTGATATGCTCAGATGATTATAGCCCTATGTGTTATCTGTGTAAGGGAGAGAAGGCTTTTTTGCTTGCTAGCACAGTGGAGAGATATAGGGGTAAATAAGAAATAAACCAGTATCTTATTACATATGCAGAGCCCAATCATTTATGAAATAGCCTACCAGTAACAAAGTAATAAAGACCAATTTTGTTCTTTTAATTATCTATTTTGTAATAGCAAACGTTCATATTTTAAATTGCCAAAGAAGGAAGGACTTCCCCATTAGGGATGAATGACTATAAAATACTAATTTTGTTTTTTTGCTGTTGTTGTTCACATAGTTAATTGTTATCACACAATTAATCAACAAGTAACTTGATAAATAGAAAGCTTTTAGTCTAAGCACTGTGCTAACAGTTATAGGGATACAGCGCTGACAAGCTAGTAGAAGACAAAATCAATACATATAAAATAATGAAAGACAGGGCCTAACATATAACCTGTAGTTAAAATACAGAAACTTTTGCTTGTATTGAAAACTCATTTTAATAAAATTAATACAATTTTATAGGATAAAACATATAGCAAACTGTGTGATATTAAATTGTAATAACTCTCCTTACTTGAGCTTTCAGAGTTTGTAGTTGTCCTTCATAATTCTGAGTCATTGCTAAGTTACATTTTTCCAGGCTGTCCAACTTCTGTCTGAGTAACCCCACCTGCATTAAGAATAAAATTTAATTTTGATTTTGCTAAATTTTTCCTGAAAAAACCAGAAAATGTACAAAAGAGGGGTACACTGCAAACAAAGCTGCTGAACCAAACCGAGAATAAATATTTGTACTGCAATTCTGAAAACAGCTATCAATAATTAAAGTCACAGAAAACAAACATTGCCAGCACGATTCCACTGGGTACACATGAGGACAGCGCAGTATGGATGTTTGACAAAAGATCCTTATCACCATCACATTTTAAATTTAGGTTTACAATTTACTTTGCATTATCTTTTGGGAAGGCTTATGTCATCGTTGCTGGGGCAGAACCTCTGCTGACACACTTCAGTTTTCATTTTAAGCCCCACTGCCTTCAATGGGAGCTCTGCTTTGGTGGGACGATGGAATAATTGTTATGTTTTTATAGGAATTAACATATTAAAAGGAAAAATGTCTGAGAGGAGTTCTTAGGGATTTGGCTTACTCAATTTGCCTGCTTAAAAAAGCGGGTGACCGGCCGAGTGGCTCAGTTGGTTAAGAGCTCCCTCAAGAGTGCGAGCTCTGAGCAACAGGGTCGCCGGTTCAATTCACAGCCCGAGCTGAGCTGTCGCTGAGCTGCCAACAGGTGGCAAGATGGCTCAGCTAAAAAAAAAAAAAAAAAAAAAAAAGCAGGTGAAGCACCTGTTTATACATCTGTGCCATTTACAGGTAGAGAAGTGAGAGACTAGCCCCTTGCATGTCTCTGGTCTGAGGACCTGCCTGTATCTGAAGGGAGGGAGACCAGATGCCAATACCTAAGTTAACTATGACAGACAGCAACATAGTTAACTATGCCCAAAACTAAGCTCCATTGAGAGGCCAACAAAGGTAGAAAAAATGGCTGCTGAATGTTGACTGATGATGTTTTTGTATATGATTAGTAAACATTTCTCTGCTGCCTTGCCCACAAGAAAAATTCACAGACACAGAAGCCCACCTTAGCTAAAGCGTATGGCTTCCCTGAACATCTCTGCAGGCCTGAGAGCACGCATACATTTTTCTACAATCACCAGCTCAGCCCTAGGCAGCCTCCCAGGAGGAGAGAGCATGCCTGAATGGGTGTCCAGGTACACACACACACACACACACACACACACACACACACACACACACACCCTTCACCAAACACTTTTCTCCTTCGCCCTACAACTACATCTTGACATTTCACTTTTCGGAAAATATTTTTCTAGTAGATTACAAAATGCAAATGTTTTTGAACTCTGCCTTGCCCGAACACCCAGCTTTGACAACTCTGCACTTATTTGTTTCCACAGCAGCAGAAGCACTGACATCTTCGCTTGCAAACAGTATTGTTTCACAACAATATATTGAGTGTCGGTGTACTGTTCTAGATGGCATTGGTACTATATGTCTGTCTGCACCAGCAGATGTTTGTGGGCTTAGGCTCTGTCACTTAGGTTGCTAGAACACATTAAGTGCACTGTGGCAGAATTTCAAGCAGTAACTGCTATGGCTGATGCCCGATAAAAACTATGCTAACGAAAAATGCATTCTGATGGACTAACTACTAGTTATCACAGTCTGAGGAATAAACAGTTTATTGACACAAAAGTTCAGTACCTCTTGACCTTTCTGATCCAAACACGTTTGTGCATTTGCCAGCTCTCGATCCCGGAGGTCTAATCTTGTCTCCAAAGCTCGCATCTTCCTTTCCCAGTCCAGTTTTTTATTGCTCACCATGATGTCAATTTGTTCCATTAATTCCTGAAGTTCGGCCTCACAAGGAGAAGCTCTGTCAGTTGTAGAAAAGTAAAATACATTTTGAAAGAGTGAAATGTGAGGACAGAAAAAGTTATTTTATTGCTCTGAATGGATCATTTCCTCAAATTGTTCAATTATTTAACTAGCAACAAGTCCGAAAGCTAGAGGTTAATTTTTTCAATGAAAACTAAAAGCTAATTTCAGAGCTAACAGTGTGTACACATTAAACTTTTTTAAATGACATTTTCTAAAGTCCAGTTGCTGTCGTACATAATGCAATACACTGATGAAACCACTGCCTCCCTTCTCTGCTTAGTGCAGGCGGTAGCGCATGGGTCTCCTCGACCCAAAAGTCTTGACATAACCAAGGGAGCGCTAACATGAAAACACATTGTGTGAATTATGTCAGAGATAAGGTTGCAATAAATGTTAGCTAAAAAAATAAAATCCATCCATCGATCAATCAATAAAATAACATTTTTTAGAGTGGACTCATTCTAAGAAAAATTATAATTATAAAAAATGACTCAGTGTTCTTACATGTAAACAGACATGTACCTATATCTATCATAACTTGAGGAGACATGGACAGCAGGCCAACTGGGACTTCAGTGGTGCCTGTCAGGGATAGAAGGGCAAGCCTGGTCTATGTGGGACCAGATTCAAGGGCACTACCTGGGTTGCCAGCCTTCTTCCCCAGAAGGGGTGCTTGGCATGATGGTTGCTGTCTGTCTGGAAGGAATCTGATCAGGCAGGTGTGGGCTGACTAACATCAGTCTTTAGACAATAGGGATACTATTAGTCAGGTAGGTGGCAATATCTTGGGTCTCTGAGGGTCTATTGAAATAAAACCCTTGGTAATAGCTAGAATTATGAAAACTGAGAGAAGCTGAGGCATTCCCCAGGGGCCTGGCACAGTTCAGTCATTCAGACTGGATAAGCAGGTGATGGTGAAGCCTCAAAGTGCAGCCTAAGGACACACACATGTCCAGATTAGAAAAGCAAGTTATTTCAGTATCCACTCAATGATGGGGATGGAGCTTCTCCTATAATTGTGTAGCTGGGAGGAAGGCAGGAAGAGAGGCAGGTGCAAAATGACATTTCCTCCATTTACTTTCACCAAATCAGAACTTTGGGCTAATTAAGGATCATTTAGCATTTTGAAAAAAACTGTAGCCCAGTGAGTTCAAAGTCATACACTAATCAGTGGAAGAGCCAGAGCTAGATTGTAAGCAGCTGCTTCCCATCTTAAGCTCCTTTCTGTATACCACACAGCAAAAGATGGCATTTTGATTAAGAACTTGCTTGAGGGCCGGCCGAGTGGCGCGTTGGTTAAGAACTGGCTTGGGAAGCCAGAGGGCCCCGGTTCGGATCCCACATATGAGGGCCAGTGACACTGCCCTCCACAGCTAAGATGCTGAAACAGCTCAACCTGGAGCTGGGCTGCTGAGAGTCGCCAGCGACGACGTAGGCTGCAGCCCCTGTGGCAGTGGGTTGCCACGGGCTACCATGTGTAGCCAGCAGCCAGTGTGAGCGGCCCTTAAGCCGCTGTGAGCGGCCATCCAGAGGCCGGCGACTGATCTGCCTCACCAGAGAAGAGAGCAGTGATGGTGCCAACTTGGGCCAGTGAAGCAACGTCCTCTACAACTAGACTGAAGAACAAAACGACAGCAACTTGTCTGTTCCCCTTCCCCGTTTCCCCAATAAAATCTTTAAAAAAAAAAAAAAGAACTTGCTTGAAATATATAGTACAAATTAGCTCCAATACAACAGGGTTAGGAATAGATATTAGAACCCAAAGAATTCAGAATTTCCAGAATCACTTTCTAAAATACCCAGAGTCAACCTGAACAAGGGATGTCCCTCAGAAGAGTTTATTCAACAGCAGAGAGGTTTTAAGTACTAAGTGTCATTCTGAAGTCTTCTGGCATTCCTGAGCTAAGGTCCAAAGGCTCCCAATTTTTAATTAAAAACTAAAACAAATCTGAGGAAAAGAAGTGCTAATTCCTCTATAAATAACTTGATTGAAGTCTAATTGGAGTTTTGATATGGGGAGAACCAACAGAACAAAAAGAATAGTTTTCATACCACTTTCTTTTTCATAACAACACATATCACCCTTTACTGTAAATACATTTTGTCTATTTTTTCTGCTAGTGTAATATCTGAAAGAAAAGGACTCTATCAGTCTGGTTCATAACTGTTTCACCAGAGCTCAGCACAGTGCCCAGCATATATCAAATACTCAATAAATCTTTGAAAAATGAACAAATGAGTTCTTTTCATCACTATCTTCTTGGCATGTAGGAATGCACCATGCTAACAGAATTAAAATATAGCCCTAAATTAGAATGTGGCATAATGTAAGCTACTCAATCAATATTGTTAAATAAATGAATGAATGCTTTAGTTCTTTGTTATGACTATACTATCCAAAAGTTAGGACATTAGACTTTTGGGGTAGAAGGACTTTTACAAACCATCTAATCCAACTACCCATCTAGTGTCTGCATATCTTCCACAAATGTTTCTTAAGGGAATTATCTATGATGCCACAGTGATCTAGGACAGAGCCCAAGATTCTGCATCAGTAACAAAGATATCAGGTGATTTCGTGCACGTCAAGGTTCATGATCTGTTTTGCATTATCAGTGCCACAAGGTCATCCAGCCTAGGTCTGAATTCTTCCTTTAGCAGGTAACTACTGTCTGAGATTGTGTCTAGATAGCAATGAGTTTTTTAAAGTTCTTACTTATATTGAAGAACTTTTTCATCTATTGGTCTTAATTTGATCCATTGGGACCATTAAGAACAAATGTTTTTTCAATATGGTCGACCTTAAAAAAGTATTTGGATACAGTTATCAATATGCCAAATACAGTTATCAGTGCACCTCCAGATTCTTCTGGGTCCTCTCTTCTCAGTGTTTAATATTAGAGACTGAATACACAAACAGATAGTAGCCAGAGCATATGATAATAAACTGACCTATAACCTCTACAGCAATAGTACTAGGATGGTCAGGACTTGGTCAATGACTGACAGCTTCCTTAATTTTTACCTCTATTTCCAACTCAGGACCAACTGGAGAAAGCCAAATATGCTCTCCAAATTAATCACATAGAATGCCCTGCATCTAGTTATCCAAACTCCAGCTTCTCTGTGTCAGCAGCCTCCAGTTAGAGCATACCTGAAGCCGTGTCTTTTGTTCACTATAGAGCTTTTTCACTCCTCTTTCTGCCCGAGTCTCTGCCAAATGCAAGCGATGGTTGCTGACTCCCTTGCTATAGCCAGCTCTGAATAAATTTCAATTTTTCTCATTTGAGTGGTCTTTGTTTATTTCTACAAGCATCTTTATTTCCTTCAGTTGCTCATAGAGGCTTTTTTTCCCCCCCTCTCTACCACTCACCACCTAGTATACTGCCTGGAAAACACTAGACACTTAATATACATTTGTTGAATGAATGAAAAAAGGAATGACCATGGCCAGATTTTCAGACCCTTCATAACCCTGATGGCCCTCCTCTATACAAGTTCCTGTTTGTTGATTTCCTCCTTGAAATGTACCATTCAGAATTTTAATATAACACCCTAGGTATCATCTAAGCAGCTTGGAGAGGGATGCTCACATCCTTTGTTTTAGGTGCTATATACTTTTATTGAAGCAGGTGAAGATGGCCTTAGCTTTGACTTGGGGAGGGGAAGGGAAAAGCAGTGCTATCATACCATTTCAAGGTGAGTTTATTCTTATACAAACATCTTATTTCTTTTTCATACATGCTCCGAGTAAAGCCACCTAGGCACTACCTTGTCCTTCAGATTTTGGGGGTGCTCCAAGGGCAGGGTTTCACATTTAACCTTATTAAATTTCAGCCTTTCAGTGTGGGTTGTCATCACTTGTTCTTTTTTTTTTGGTATTTCCTTAAGCTTTTTTTTTTTTTTTTAGTTTCAGGTGCACAAAACAATGCAATAGTTATACTTTTTACCCCTCACCAAGTGACAACCCCTTCCCCAATCCACTCCCCCTCACCCGATATCATACATATCTATTACAATTCCATTGACTCCATTCCCCACACTGTACTCCACATCCCGTGTCATCACTTGTTCTTTTTTTTTTTTTTTAGCTGAGCCATCCTGCTACCTGTTGGCAGCTCAGCAGCTGCTCAGCTTGGGCTGGACTCGAACTGCTGTTGCTCAGAGCTCAAACTCTTGAGCGAGCGCTTAACCAACTGAGCCACTCGGCCGGCCCTCTCACTTGTTCTTTAATGAAGCAAACATTCATTAAGCGACTGCTGTCCACTGTGTGAACTGGAAAGACAGAGACACAAGACCAACGGCCTGTGCACAGAGAGAAACTTGCCAGGCAGGCAGGTATAATAAGAGACTGATGAATGCATGCAGCTCTTTGGGGAACAGAGAGGAGGAGTAATGGATATAGACTTGGACAGGGTGGGCTATCACAGAGGCCTTCCCCAAGACGGTAACATCTGAGCTTTTATTTCGGGGTCCTGTTTCTGTCAGAGATCATATTCACTAGACCTCTCAGGTTCGTGTAAGCTGCAGTACTTGTTTGATAAGCAGTACTTGTTTTATATAATACATATGTTTTTTTCATACAAGGGGTTGTAAGATATCATGAAGGGCAGGATGGATGACAGAGCCCTATGGCATTCTACTACCAAGCCCTTTAGGGTGACAGCAATCCATTGATTATTTCTTTTCTTGTAATCAGATGCTAATTCACTTAATTAATCTCACAATTTTTTTTTATTTTTTTCCCCCACAAAAATGTCATGAAAAGCCCTGTAAAATATCATGACAAAGCCGTAATACAACTCTTTCTGTATGTTCCCTGGTGCATCAGCATATCAGCCCTGCAAACCAAGGCTGGTCTAATATGCAGTGGTCAGGGTGCCTCCATGCCGCGTCCCGGTGGTCACTGCTTCCTCTCTGGATGCCCAGAAACCACCAATAATCTCTAAGATTTCATCAAATTTATTTTTACATGAAACTCAATTTTTTGTCAAA